TGTGTATTGATGAGCCAGCTGTGAAGACAAATTTTTAAGACAAACGAATCTTCGTAACACAGTTAATTACAATTAGTAAGTTTCTAACCTTTTTGCTAGTTGGTTAAGTATGTCTAATTTCTTAGTTTCCACTAGATCATAGGTTCCCAAACTTTTTGGCTCACCGCCCATTTAGGTAAGATAAAAAAATTTCAACGCCCACCACAATATTTTGTTATTTATTATAAAAATAATTATTATTATTATTAAAAGACGTCTTTTTTATATTAACTTAACACAAAAAATCACAAGCTAAAAAGCTATACAAAATTTGCCCAACAGCAAAGCACTGATTTTCAACCACCACCTTCGAGGGTAGCGCGTTGCGGTGCATCAAAAGCAAAAACATAGGAGGTGAATGTAGTGTGCATATGTGGTAGTATCACGTGAGTATTATGTAGATTCTAAAAATATTTAAAAAATATATAAATTATAATTGATATATTTAAAATAAAATAATAATAATCAGTACTTAATAGCGATGAAAGTCATTGTCACATAAAAATGATAATAAATGTTTATGAAGTAAAGGGACTTCATTCTAGAAGCCTCCGCTATGTAAAGCGTTGAGGATTACCCAGTTTTTGCCTATCAAAAATAACTTCCCTCAATTGTTTGTTAAACGTAAACTTAGTTTTAAGTAGTCTAAGCGGGGTGGAATATATTTCCAACACTTTGTAGCTTGATAGCGGCAGCTTCCAGTAAAGGTGTGCACTGTGCGATGAATTTGTCCCGCCAAAAGACGTCTCACGGTTCTAATAGAAAATTAGTCGTGAAGAATTTTAAAGTGGAGAATTTTAACTTTCCATACAAGTACTCTGGTTTTTGGAACTTTATCACGCCAAATAGCATACACGCGAGATGTAGATGTCTTCGCGAGTCCATATTTAACATGTTTGCATTATTTAAATATTGCGTGATATGGCTGCGAGGTGGGATTTTAAAGCAAAATCGACACCAAGCGTTTTGTACGTGTTGAATCAGGTGTTGGGTTTTACTCAACAAACAATTACCGTAAACCATAACCCTGTTATTAAGTTTGGAAATAATCAGTGATTCGCAGGTGGTAATACAAGCATGCTCACTTAAATGATGACGTATTTTGTATAAAATTTTTAAGACGATAATAGCAGTTCCTAACTTGATCTAGTACGTGACTTCCAAAACTTAATTGACAATCAAGTGTTATGCCAAGATTTTTTGCCTCTGTACTGTTACTAAGTAATGTATTTATCAAGCATTAACAGATAACTTACATGTCAACATCACATAGCCGTGTGACGAGGAGCAGTAACTTCTTTAAAGTGAAAGGTTCGGTCCTGTTCATCCGTAATAAGTATGAAATTATGCCGAATTCCGCATTCGCCGTTTTTGCTTACGATTTTAGGCAAAAATGGATAAAATCCGGCGCTTTGAGTAAAAACTCGGTTAAAACCAGAGTGGGTTGATTGGGTTCTAACCCACTCTGGATATATCTGATAAATCATAGAGTTTCATTTGGACAAATTTAAAAATACGTTGTATTGTGTTCTGTACTGCAAGATACATATTGCACTATGTGTATTTCAAACATACTTACTATTTTTAATTTTTTTTTATTTTGCATTATAAGCACGGCCGAGTTTATGTCACCTTTAAATTGCACTAACATGAACATATTTTACATATTTCTTATTTATAAAATTTCTTTTTCTTTTCTGGGTCCAAAATGAACAGTTGTTCTGTACTGGTTTTAGGACCACATAGTTCCTTTTTGTGTACTCGTATTTATAAACCATAATAATTATGTTATTAAAAATACGATTGGTGCTTGCCCGTTATGGCGGCAACAGTACTACACGGATTAAATCCTCTTGTGGGGTCTGTATGTTGGTTGGCAACCAATCACTAATTAATTAAGTACCTACGTTATTATCTCTCCTGTATTTGTAACTGGCTATCAATAAAATTATTATTATTAAAATAAAACAAGAAGTAACTTGGCATAACACTTAATATTTGTATCATTTCACAGTTGAAAAAAAAAGACGTAATAGGTCAGTTTTAAAAATTTTATATTACAAGGATGGATAGAATTTTTAAGAGGCTGTCTCTTGCAACCTTTATAAATGGGTGAAAATTAAAAAAATAAAATAAATAATAAGTATTTCCTCGCGCTCTCGACTGCTAACGCTGACCAAGTGATTGGATATAGGTACCTACGTCAAAATAGTTTGCACAGTCAGCGACACGAAGTACGAGGTAAGACCAAAAAATACGCGGAATTTTTATTTTCTCTAAAAAAACTTTTATTTACTGATTGATTACAATGTTGCCCCCTGCAAAGTATTCCAGCTCAGTAATAATTCATATCTATATACTCGAAGCATTTCTGGAATGCAATATTTTAATGGTGTTATTCAATAGTGTAACTGGTCCGTAGGGGCAATTTTCGGTGTGGTTTTTAGTTCATTCGGCTGTGTCTTCTCAATATTGCCAAAACGTTGTCCTTGCGTTTTTTTCCGTTTCGTAAATAAATTAAAAAATCACACATATAAATAAAAATTGTTTGGCATGAGCCAATTGATATTCCAAGTTCATCAGCAATCTCTTTTTAAGTCTTTTGTAAGTGATTCAGCGACTGCCCATAAATCTTTTCCTTCACGTTTTTGATATTGTCTTCGGTTGTCGATGTGCTGAGACATCTAGGGTGCTCGTTTTCTTCGGTGTCTCCACGGCCTTTAAAACTTTTGTACAACTTGTAAATACTGGTTTTACTACAACGACATCAATCTATAGACAAGAACATTCACAGCAACTACGTGTTAAAAACAAAATACTATCAATAGTGATAGTGTTTTGTTTTAGTATTGAATTTTAACAAAGAGTATCACCGTAGTACCGTGGACAGACGTGACAGTCTATACCTATTGGAAATGAGCTAGGCAGGCAGATAATATTGAGTGTTTACCAATGATATTTCTCTATTGTTGAGGAATTAACGTAAAGCCTCTGGCAGAGTTAGTTGCACAATACATTTCATTTTGCTTTGGCCCAGGGGCCCCGCTTGCTATTTATTATTACTACATTACTAAATAGAATTTAAATGAAAAGCAAATTTAAAAGTAGTAGAATAAATTAAATACAGTCGAGTTGTTGAAATTATTGATGTAATGTTATGTACTTTTCCTTGCGGAAAGGCAAAGCTCTTTACACCACGCAGTCTAGTAAAGTATGTACATAGATATTGTTGAGCCTAGTCTTTTTGATATTTTTTAAACTTTTATAATATCCTTAATAACTGTTATAATCATATTATACTTACTCTGTTACTGTGTAAACAGAATAGACTTTTCCTTATTAAACTATGATTTATGGTTTTGTCTTTTTTTTTGTCTTTTTCTTTTTTTGTCATTCCATACTTGCAAAACGAGATGGATAGTGTGAAAATTTGTATACTGTGTCGGGATTATCAAATATTATACTGCCCAAATTAATCAAAAACCACAACATTACTTACCGAATCAATGTGAATAATATAAAACTTTAAATTTATGTTCACACAATTAGTCAAATAGCGAAATGTGAGCGACACACCGTTGTAAATTAATATTCAAAGAGGACTGCATTTGCGTCCGCCATCTTGAATGTTTGACAACCAACTTAATGATGTGCAGCGTCTTCACCGCACATCTAGTACGCTAGTACACAGATATCGTTGTTTTACTCAATGAACATTGGCCAATAGCAACATTTCCAATGTGATGCAGCTCTTTATTCTAATCCGCATAAAGCAGAATTTACGGTTAATTCTTTATTCCATTTTTATAATAATAAAAAAAGTTGCGATTTCTGTTAATCACTGTTTACTTTATCTACTTTCACAGTTTAATGACGTACGTACTTTGTTTGGGGATAATGCCGCCAATATTAATATAATCTTTGTCCTGCAGGAACGTGCGGTTAGGGCAATTTACAATCTGAGCCCCAAAGTGGCTTTGAGAGACAAGTTGAAAGAAATCAACATTCTTACAGTAGCCTCACAGAATATTTATGAAAATGTAATTTAGGTATGTTAAGAAGAATAGGAATTTTTGATGAAAAATAGTGACAAACATAATATTAATACGAGGAATAGACATAAACTGGCTGTTCTTGATAGTCATCTTCACAAAGTCATAAAATAATAACATTCAGGTCGATATTCAAAATTTGCCATTCAGAAGAAAATTTGCCATAACGATATTGTAATTAATATCTCGGGAATTAAAAAAAACTCGAAACCTAGTCTTTATATCCAAGCCATAATAACGGTTTTAATGACAAGAATTAAATAAAAAATGAAATTTTCTTTAAGTGTAGACATTTATTAGCTATAATAAGAAATTGGATATTATAACCAACCACTGTGTTACCCAAGAGATTATTCGTATGTATTAGTATGATACGTAAGTGATAAATGGTTTCGCATATGAAATCGCGGGCACAGTTAGTTTAGTTTCAATGTGCGCTAATAATGTTATTACAGTTTCATAACACTATACAATATATTTTCTGATCTGGCGAAAAAAGACACTTGTTACCATTGTGTACGGATACGTATTTAAGTTATGGGAAAAATATTAAATAAGCTAAATATGGAAAAATTTAATTTTCACCTCAGCAGCTCGAACAAGGCTATTTTGCTGTGTGAAATCAGTGAGCAAAATCTTATTTTGCTCACTCCGTGAGAAAAAGTAGCTTTTTGCTTTTTAAGTGGAGACTTGTCATTTAATGCGAAGGGGTCTAATACAAATTCGACATATTTCAAAATCAGTCGCTCCGTCCCTTTCACTTCATTACAAGAAAAAGGAAAAAGAAAATTATGGTTTACTCGTACTTCGATATTTAAGCTACATAGTAGACCCCCACAAAATGGCTGAACGAGTGCACGTTCGGAAACTCGTCAATTCATCTAAAAGATAAATTATGTGAGAAATACAAATACGATTTTATACTATGATAATTTAGTTTTTACAATTTTCATTAAAAATAAAGCAAGTGTTGCAATAAAAATATGCTAAATTTATAACGTCAATTAAAGATAACAATATTTACAATGTGTGATTTCAATGAATACAAGCGAGAACGTTCCGGAACGCAATAAATAAAAGCGCGCTTTCTTTTTTTTTTAATTCAAAATTTCTTATTTGCTTGCGATAGGTACTTCTTTGATAGTTAATTGGATACCTACCTACGTAATAAAATAGAAAATATGAGCGATTCCAGTGAAGACGACAATTTTTTAACTCCTCCAGAGTTAGTTGAAACTGTTAAAAATGCTGAACTAAGTTTCTTGCCTAGTAAATCTCGTGAAAAGTACCTGAAAGTCTACGAACATTTTGACAAATGGAGGCACGAAAAGGGCGCAGGAAACACTATGTCGGAAACTGTGCTTCTGTCTTATTTCATTGAAATGTCGCATACAAAACAGCCGTCAACGATGTGGAGTACATATTCGATGTTGAAAGCTACATTACAAACTAAAAATAACGTCCATATAAACACTTACGCAAAGCTGATTGCGTTTTTGAAAAGATCGGCCGTCGGCCACAAATCAAAAAAATCGAAAGTTTTCACGGCTGCTAATATTGAAAAATTTCTTAATGAAGCTCCAGATTGCACTTTCCTAGCCGCAAAAGTAAGTATTGAATATTATTACTGTTGTCGTAGCGTTATATTTTAATTGTTAATACAATTTGGACTTTGGTAGTTATGTTATCAATTTCTATCAACATAATTATACTTACCTACTTAAATGTGTTGTTTTGGCGACTTGTATTGGAACTTTATGGTTAAAAATAACGCTACATATTATGAGAAATCCACGTTTAAGACTGCTCTAAAAGACACAATACTTATTGACGTTTTATTTATGTTTCAGGTCATCCTTATCATTGGAATAAACGGAGCATGCCGCTCCAACGAGTTATTGAATCTAACTCCTAATGCCATTGAACAACATTCCAGCGACCTTCTTTTGATTAACCTGCCAAATACGAAAACAAATATAGACAGGTCGTTCGTCGTCCGTGAGGAATACGCACACGTTGTCCAGAAATATAAAGCATTGCGCCCTCCCAATACGATCACAGACCGCTTTTTCATACAATATCGTAATGGAAAATGTACGCGGCAACCGATGGGTATTAATAAAATAGGAGCGACTGCACGAGAAATCACAACATTTTTAGATTTGAAAGAGCCGCAGCTATACACTGGCCACTGCTTCAGGCGAACATCAGCCACTCTTTTGGCAGATGGAGGAGCTGACCTCACAACGTTGAAGCGCCATGGCGGTTGGAGATCAAATACAGTGGCTGAAGGATATATCGAAGATTCAATAGAAAATAAATCAAAAATCTGTAAGCGTATTATAGATTCGATAAACCTAAAACAGACTTCGCATTCTTGGGCACAACCTAGCACCTCCAGTGATGCGAATCATACCCAAACCCGCCCAGAATCACCAACTTTTACGGTGCGGGAAGGGTCACAATCCAGCTCAACTCATAATGAAACCTCGACCACTACTCAAGTAGCAAACACTACGACGATTACTGTTCCAAATAAAACAGTAACTTTTAATCTACAGAATTGTACAAACTTCACGTTCCACTTTTAATTTTTTGTAAATTCTGTATTTTTGTAAATATACAATGATGCATTTGCTTTCATGACGTGTTTTTATTACTTGTCCCTTTAGTATATATATATGTTCTCGCTGCTGAGGTGAAAAGTTGTATGTATCACGCGAGAGCAAAGTTATTTTGCAGCTCGTATTTTTGAGTCCCTCGCTTCGCTCAAGATCCTAATTCTGAATCACTCGCTACACTCGTGATTCAACTATAGAATCTTTCGCTTGCTCAGGACTCAAAAACAGCACTCGCACCAAAAAACGACTTTGCTCTCTTGTTGAACAAATAACTATTTTTCATATTTACTTCATTTCATACCTGCGATATTTTTTTTTAATTTAAACAAGGTCGAGGCGAAAAATATTTTTTAATACTTTTCAATATGGCCATCATATATGATTTATTTTATTGCTCGGGAGGAATTCGCTTCTACGAACACTAAAGTAAAAAAGCGCAGTGGCGTCCGCCTCATGATTGCGCGGTAGTCCCAAGTCCGTCTCAGGTCGTATAATATTTATAAATTACCATAGTACTAAATTGTTCAATTGCACCCATATCAATTAAAGAATTGTTAAAGGACGTTTATAATACGTCCACCGCGTGAAACGGGATCCACGCGCGGGTTGTCTCACGATGAACTGGTTCGTTCAACAAATCAAAGCAAGCACCAGTTCAAGTAGACACGCGCCACCGAACGATTTCGGTGACTATGTCGGGACAACTTGAAGGTGATTCCCACTTTACTCAGAGGCTGCCTTTTGGAATGGAAATCGAACGGTGGGAGGAATTGTTATTAACTTATAATAACCGTGAGTGGTAAAATACATAAGATTAAGTAGACATATTTAAGTATACACACTTAAGTAAAAAAGCATCTGTTTAGCTTCGTCCGCGTAGAGGGGTACAAAAGATAAAGTCTAGACGTGGTAGAGGCACGTAAAGATGTAAAGTGCAGGTTCATAAAAAATTTAACGCGACGTGCGAACTAAGAGCTTGCATCTCCGAGTTTCCGGCCTTAGAGCTAGGATAGTCTATAACTTGCTCGTGCCTAAAGGGCCACGCGATGGGTATGTGAGGGGCAGGAGGAATGAAAAATATGACAAACCAGCAAAAACGGACAGTTGAATACGCCCGTTAGCATTGTAGTAAATATTGCAGGTATTAATGGCTTAGCTAAACATAGTATCGAACGATGTGAGGCCAGGCCTTTTGTTCAGGAGCGGAATAATTTACATAATACGTGTCGTAACTCGTCTACATGTGTGTTAAGTAGAGACTATGGCTTTGTATTTCGACGCTTCTCACACAAAGCCTTTCTTCCTTAGGATCACCTGAGGTTTTTCATACAGTTTTTTGTTTCGAATACATTTAAAAAAAATTATAGTAAGACGAGCAGACGAGTCACTTGATGGGAGGTGGTCATCATCGCCCATGGACATTTGCAACATCAGATGAGCAGCCTATGCGTTGCCAGCCCTTGAGAGCCCCGTTGATACGCTTTTTGAAGAACTCCATGTAATAGCACAAAGGAAATACATACTTTGTGCTATAAAATTATTTATTTATTTTTGCTCCATATATAACACAATATTTTTAATAGTTGGAGGCAAATGTTCGTTTATTTGTGTATGGTATTCATTGCAGAGCTTCACACCTAAATTGCATTTTTGTGGCTGACAGCTGGAATTTGCGAGACAATTCTTAGCGAGGTTGGATTGTACATTATTAAATTTTTATTAAGTAAGATATGGTATATTTAAGTTTGTTTTTCTCATTTCTTGTGCCCTTCTAATAGGAATGTTTATAATGTAATCACGTTTTTATAATTAAATCTTGAATACAAATGCTGATACGTCTCTTCCGTATTCATTTAATAGTAACTAATTATTTCCAAAATGAATTTGTTTCGATAATTTCTAGGTTAAAATTAACAATTTGGTATAATAAAACCACATACTTCATAAAGGCTTTTATTACAAGAAAGTCATAAAACCATTACGAACCATATTAAAGAGTTCGTCCAGGGAAGTACTGCCACCTTACCTATTTCTGCCGCCAAGCAGTACTGTCGGCATTACTATGATCCGGTTTTGAAGGGTAAGGGTGCTGGTGTAATTACAGGTACATGGGACATGTCAACTTGTCTCAGGGTGACGGGCCCAGCGGCAGTACCCCTTAGGTCTTTGCGAATTAAAGCTCTAACTGCAACTGTTATCAACAGACGTGACGCTACACTTGACTTATTCGTCCCGTCACTTGATATTATAAAAAAAAAGAAATACTGCAATTCTCGCATACTGATCTCTCGCTCTCGCGCAAGTCGCGCCGTATGCTAGCCATACTGAGGTCGGCAAAAGCAAGTACCTATAATTACCCAAACATCTAGGAAAGTAATAGACTTAAAGTGAATAACACCTTTCTCTGAAACACGACAATTGCGTTTTATTCTATAGTTTTAAAGTTGTAAATTGCTACGTATTGCATTTAGAATAAAAGTTTTGTTCTTGAGGGTAAAGAGTAAACAATTGTCTGAATGTTTGCTTTTTATATGTAGTAATAGAAGAATTTCAGATGAAGGTATTTGTTTTTAATTTTAAGATTTACTTACATTATACTGTCAAGAATTTATGGAAAATATTATTTTATGGAAATAACAATAATAATACATAATTAATATAAACAAAAAAGTACTCTAACTTAAAAACAACAACAAAGGAACATATAAGTACTAGGCTCTGCTCTAAAATGTATCCTGCTGTACATAATTTGTAATTGTCTCAAAATATTTACTTCTGAGAAACAACTGTAGGTATTAATTTAAAAAAAATCGTAATGTCCAGAAAATATGCGATACCAATATTTTTAATTTTTCGTAAATTTGGTTATTTTTTACGTTTTAGTAAGTGACTCAATTCATTGTCTGTAACCAAAATTTTTGTTGTGCATTCAAGTCTTTGTGCATTGTATAAACCAAAGAGGCGTATTGCAATAAATTCGAGCTTTTTGTTGCCGATTCCCCGGATAGTAGCCGAAGAGCGGAAATTATGACAAAGTTCAATCTTCTGCCACCCTATGTGTTACACCTGCTGGGCACGCCCATTCCCGATGAATTTCTCCTTTATTAATGAACAACTCAGATAGGTAAATTGTACCTAATGTTGTTCTGCCGGCCTTTCTCCTTGCAACACTCGGCACGTGTAGCCTCTTCAGTATTAACCTTTCTTGTGTAGGGGAGACCGGGACTGGTAATTCCCGGGGTAAGTTGTTCTCACAGCATTAACTTTGTAAGAAAAATATATAGCAATACATGTGAAGCACGTCGGTAAAGCGTCAGGTGATGCGCATTGCCGGCAGCTATTTCAGTTACTCCGGCGACGACGGATGCTTGGCTATGTGCGTGGAGCTGTCAAAACATCACGTAAGTGCATTTTTTCTTGTTTAAATTTTTTCTGTCTGTCTTTATTTATTATGGGCCGATTCACACGTAACTTTTCCAAATTGTAGTGACATTAGTAAGGAATCTTGTTGTTTGAGTACTTTTTAATTGATTCTATTCTTTGCCGGTATGTCAGTCTTCGTATAAAAACGTAATTTGGGGTTATAAGTTCCTCCCTCGACGGGCTGGTTGTTCCTAGGAACAACTTCCCCAATGTATTTGCAATCATACTTAAAATTTTTAAGACCATTTTTCTTTGTTTTAAGGATGCGAAACTACAAAGGGGCTCATGTGAAATATTTAGACAAGATGATAGAGTCACTTATGTGTTTCTCAACTGAGATTCAGATGAAGAAATGAGCGATGAATAATATTACTGATGAATAAGAATATAGTTTTTTTTTAAGTTAGTTGTGCATAATATAAACATTACATACATACAATTATAAAAAAGGTGGTTTTATTTAAGAAAATCCTTGTTATCCTGTGAGTATTTAGGCGGAACAATTTGCCTCAAAGACGGAACAACGCGCCCCAAAGCGGGACTGAAAGTTCCGCTTCGAAATTTGTCAAAAATTTGCCTCTATAAAAAAAACTAGACATTAGTAGAAGTGACTACACTATTACAAAAAGCTATAAACATTTGTTCAATATTTCCACATGTTGACAATCAAATGCTTCATTCTCAGTATAAAACTTCAACTTATTTGAAAATCGGAACATTCACCGTGTACCGTGGACCTAACGTAATTAGCTGTGGCCAGATGCCCTTATATCCTGATACGGATGTCCTATTACTTCAGTATTAACAAAGGCAAAAGATAGGACGCCCGATCTGCAAGACTGTTCAAAAAAAGCTTGTTCACTCTACCAGCAATCGAAGGTCGTTTTCGCTTAATTGTATTCTCCGAAAAAGAGCCCGGAAATCGGTTGTAGGCCGTAAGTAAGCCAGTGGCACTGTTATAGACGGTGTTTCCTCTGACTCGCTGTCTGCCTCCGACCGAGTTTAAGAACTGTTCATCCCTATTGTATTGATGATGTTGTTAGTGCATCGCAAAATACAGGCCGGATGTCCTGACATGCAATACGTCTCATCATGTTGCCCAGTGGTTTTTTTTTGAGACCTAATGTTTGTTTCAGTATGTTGTTGGTGTCTTAATTTGTTCTCGGGTTTTCGACAAAATAAACACTCTTTAGCCGAATAACAAAGTGCCCCATGTTTTTAATGTTAATCGAATCGTGGAGCGATACAACTTCTTTTCAAATTCATAACTTAAGTTGAGTAACCCCAAGAGTGCCAAATCAGTGATGATGAAAACGAAATTGGAAACACATTAAATACATGTCTGACAGACAAATGAAGGTTTAAAACCATAAAAACAACTAATAAATAAAACAAGGTAACTTCTATATTTACGTGCAACATCGGTTTCGCATGTTTGGCAAGTATTTTCAAACCTTCTGGTTTACTACTAGCCAAACATGTATATGTTAGACGGTCAAAAAGGATCGGGACATGTGGCGTGTAAAATTCATGTCCTCGTTTTCTTGTTATAATAGCTGTTGCGTGGAAATTTAAAATCTATAGGTACCTATATAAAATTATCATAGGGTAAGAAGTCAAAATAAATTCATACTTACATAATATTCGTAGATCAAATAAATATATTAAATATAATTTGAATCTAATGTCGTCCTAGCCTGTCTGTACTGTGTCGGTACCTACGAAAAAATCATTCAACGCTTTTTATTCCTGCACCGCATTACGCATCATGATTGAGGCATAACGAACTGAGAGTCTCTTTCACTTTTTAATATTTGAAAGCCGCGTGAAAGAGATGACACTAAGTAGGCGTCG